ATACGGGAAATTACCCTCTGCCTCTAATTGAAGAACATTGAACATTGAACATTGAACTCTGCTGAATAATCGATTATCCACTAAATTATCCAGAGATTGTTTTTATCATTGGGTAGGGGATTTCGCCAAAAGTATTTTTCATTGTGTAAACGCATTGTTCCGGATAAAATCTACCTTAACAGGTCAAAGTTCAAATCAATATATGAGACTAATATATTAGGTGAACAAAACATAAGCACATGAAATTTTATTTTACTACGTTTGTAATAATTTGAGGAGAAAAAACGGAGTTCGGGCTAAAAGCACCACCCGCTATAGATAACTGAGTAGCAGTATATCTAGGGGACAGTTCACATGAATTGATTTGCACAGGTTTGTTTAGTTGAACCAGTGTGAACTCATCATAAACAAAACTGAGGCGCCGGTCACTTAGTGGAAGCCTTTAATACCTGAACTATGAGACGTGCATTGTTGAAGTAGAGCAAGCTATTGTGATCTACCACAGGTCACCCGAACGGGTTCAAATAGGTTCTTACCCCTGTTGAGTACCAAGGTGGCTACATCGAACTCCGAGTCAGAGACAAAAAAACTATCTGGTAACCGCCCTCCCAACAGAGATCCATAGGTTTTCTGCTAAGCAGGTAAAAGTAACAAGTGGTCAAGATTTCAACATCCATGGGGATAAAACAACGCCTGATAGAACTGGATCCTAACACATGCCCGGTTCTGGCGTTACCTTCTTTTGTAAAGAAGGAAACACGTGTCTTCGATCTAAAATACCTCGTCCACGAATTTAGATAACTACTTATATATGCTTATAAATGTTTGGCATGATCGAGCCAAATTATATTCAAAGCATTTCATTATTATCGGCAGCAAGAGAATCCATAAACAGAACGTTCCCTTTTTGATCGGGGCAAATTGCATTCCTCTCGAACGCTTACCATGGTCGTGGTCTGAATTTCGAGAATTCCTCGTGATCGGCGTTTACGATCCCGTTCGACGGCTTTGCGAAATTCCATCACATAGGCCGCAGTAGCTCGAGCATCCACATTGTCCGGGTGCATGTCCATCGGTTCCAGAAGACGGGGTGTGGCAAATTCAGCCGTGGCCAGATGAAAGGCCAACGATAAGTTCTGATTGACAGTCTTCTCTAATCGAGTCTCATAGGTGAATAAATCCGGTCTTAAATTGATCCAAATCGCGTTCATGAAAACGGGGTGGGGGGGGATGGAAGGCAGGAAAATATATAAAAAAATTATTAATAGAATTTTGTAGTTTGCAGAATTTAGTATTGTCATCTGGAGCGAGGTGTTCGGATAAAACGCTGTTCGTACCCTAATCAGGCGTTTCGGATACAAGATACCGTTAGTTCTGTGATTCGTGCTAACAGCTCTCCCGGTTTCCGGGCATACTTGATTTACTATTGAGCTGAAACAAAGTAATCTGAATATATCCATGGTTGGGTGGTTTTCTTTGGAGTAACAAAGACCGGCCATCTGTCTCATGTCTTTCACAACATGTTCTGCTACAACCAACGGTTCAAATTATCCTCTGCTGACAAAGCTCTTCTCACTGCCTTCCTCTGAATGATGTTTGTTCTCATTAAAGTGAGAGGACGAAAAGCACTTTTAAAATTGCCTTGCCAAAAGTCGCGGCTAGATCACGGAACAGAAACAGATCCGGACTCGAAGTACTTCACATCGAGGTGGTCCGTTGGCGGAGTTCACAGAGAATCAGTTATATAGCACATGGAAATGGAAAAATTTGATGCATCCGAATCTCTCAGTTTTTTCCCCACTTACCGGCTTTGATGGGCAATAGCCAGAAATGCCAAACCATCTCGCCAAGAATGCGTGAAATTGCAAATATTTAGGCCATTGTACCTGTACCGGGTAGGAGCCAGAGGGAGGGAGAAGATTTCAGTAATTGCCATTCGCTGAAGGAAGAATAATTTAATAATTGATGATTGCTCATCATGATTTCAGTAACTGTAGTCTGGTTCTCGCACGCAACCATGCGCAACATGACTCTCATGTTCGAAATACAATACAGTTTCCGGTATCATGCGCGTGTATATATGGATCGCTATAGGTGAAGAGTATCCATTCCGAACTTCATCTCCCACTGAAATGTTCTCCGTTCTTTTTCTATCATCGTGTGAATTTGAGCGACCTTGGGTGTCAGGATGAAATTGTCAGCAATTTGCATGTTACCTCTTATTCTAAAATGACTAAAAATAGATATTTTCAGAAACATAAAAGTTGACCTTGATATATGCGACTCATTGAATAAGCGTCTTGTGTCTAGGTCACCATACCCAAACCGGGAAAAACATCCAAGAGATTTTTGGCACACATTTGAAGCCGAGAGGCAACTTATTCGGAAGGCACATAAATCCGATCGATGACTCAGTTCCTGACCGCTTTCAGTGCTCAAAAAGTGAAGAAAGGCAAAAAAAGTAAGCAACTACTTGTATAATATGCGCGACCAGTTTTTATAACTCAATTATGATGACGGCTTAAATCTTACAAATGATGCACAAGCAACCGTCATCAAAATTGAGAAATCGTACATTTTAATGGTATTCGACTAATAAAAGCAGAAACATAAGTGGTTAATAGTACAAATATGTTGCGGCTGACATGGGGCCATAGCATATTCAATCCCACGGTGAATGAGACCCGAAACAGTGAGCACTGGGAGGAACAAAGGTGATGAAAGTGTCAGGGCGCACATCACGTTTAATCAGTTGATGCCTAAAAACTGAATTGTGAAAGTTTTGTTATAATCGTTCCGTGTAAAACAAAAAATACACCCAGATCGAAACAGGTGTCCAGTGCTTCTTAGCTTTTCATTTCACGCTTCATTTTCTATGTATACGACGAATTCCCATTTGAAATTGAATCAAATGTTCGATTACTCATTTGAAAAAATAAATCATTTATTTGAACAACACATGTTTCACATGCTAATAAAACCTTGTTAACGTAAAACTGCTACTGCAAATCGGATTGCGTATTTTGATTCTATGAATGACGGAATCGTTTGATTAGCGAGCGTAAGTAAGTGCTGATTTTCAATTAACCAATGTTTGTACACGAATAATTTTATATGAAATCTGGCAAATGAAGCGTATTTCAATTTTTAGCGAATTATGTTTCATGTGATAGAAACAAACCTCAAAAGGAATGACACGTGGAGAAACCAATTGTGTCAAATTTACAAAGATTACACTTTCAATCGTATCTAACGAGGCATTTTGCCCATATCAAGACCCTTTTGTATACCATGAAAAACCTAAATATTTTTTTAAATTTTTGCCATGGAGAACGTAGCATCGCCTCCAAGCTTGATTGTTTTAAAGAACAATCCTGCATGTGTTCGGTGTTTGCAAACGTGAAACAGGTAATTTGAATTGGATGCAATGCCTTATCATTTTGGAATAAGTGCATTTTGCCGTCAGACATTTCGTATACAGATATCGATCGAAGTAGTGCAACTTGACACTCACTCTGCAAACGCATTGCAGGCGGTTAACGCTCAATACAGTGGGCGGAGAGAAAGCTGATCTATTGACCTAGTTTCTCAACGAATTTCGTTTCAGCTCTCAAAAGAAGTGAGTTTCCATCCTGTCTGATTTGCCAGAAGAGAATCAAGTACAGTGTACCTTGTTATGAGTCCTTTGAACGTGCCACGGTAGATAGACAGACAAAGGTTAGTATATCTTTGCCACTGAGGTTGGTAGTACAAAATGGTTAGACCTAATTAAGTGCTATTTTCACATCTTTGCCGTATCTGGATAAGTCAAGTCCAGTATCGAATTCACACGTTTGCCACCCAGTAGTAATATATTTGAATGTAATCGCAAATCGTTTCCTGTGTAAATCCCAGGAATATGTTAGCTACCTACACTGACAAATGCATTTTGACAATCAGCTCTGTAAACTCCATGCCAAAACGACCAACTCCAGTAACTGAAAATAATGAGGGGTAAATATCACATTAACAAAATGAAAGCACAATAGCTGTATCTAGCCTGTGGGTACATCAGTTCCAACTGTTTTTTTTCACTGAGTCTTTGTTATTTAACCACTGTTGCATCAGAAACCGTCGTCGAAATCAAAGAATCGTACATTTTATCGGCATTCAACTAACAGTAGCAGAAATATAAGCGCATATTTGTACAAATGTGTTGCATCAGATGTGGTGGGACAGTATCATATTCAATCCCCCGGTGAATGAAGCCCGGAACACAATGCGGGGGATGAGAGGAACAAGTGTGATGAAAGTGTCAAGGAATTGGACGAGTTTGGTCAAAACCTATGCTATGGAAAATGAAAAATGGTTTGCTCAGCTGCCCAGTGGCCCATTGGTTAGCATGCTTGCGTTCTGCCTGTGAGGTCCTAGTTGAGTCGGTGGATTCGCACTGCAGCTGATGAGACCCAACCAGGTCGGAACTACTGTACCC